TTTTAATGAAAAGTGCTTTTCATGTTCAGAAAGCTACTTATCTATAATTCATACCGAGTATTGAAATGATAATGACAATAGAAAATAAAGTTAAATCAATAATATTTGTCTGTGAAACATATGCATTTTTTTGCGATATTTTCACTTCTATTTAGTATTATACACAAACTCTTCACGGTGTAAATGTTTTACTGATATTTAACACGAAGTACAGTTTAGGGTAATTAACTTAACTCATATCATAGTATGAAACAAACTCTCTAATATGTTCCAACAAGGCATTAATGGAAGTAAGTAAGTAGCACACTATATTATGATCTTGAAACAACTGACTCACAAAAGGTGTAAAACGAACAACATGTACCTTTACAATATTTACTATAAATTTCTCTAACAACAATGAGCATCTCAACAAGGCATTACAAACCTATGTAACAAAAGGAATTATAATCTCTAATTTCTAACAACTTCACAAACCACTCCAGATATGCGTTCCCAAGTGTTCAAGTTACCTAACTGCAAGAATATACTCCTAATTTATATTATAACACACTGTAACTAAGATTACATCTGAAAAGTCAATAAAACCTCCTATATAGTAACCCTCTATGTCATTCCATTTTATTTCAATCTTTATAGTGTTTAAATGACACACACACACACACACACACACACACACACATACAGATATAGACCCTAAGTCATTTATGACTTATTGGGAATGATAATTGGTAACCAGGTCATTTAATTGGGTTATATGTGATTTTCATGTTTAAGATCTTTGAAGGATTTGTTTATTTTGATTAAAACATAAGGTATATCATCTCAAAATACAATCTAAAGATTCCTTTAGCTTCTTAACTCGAGTTTGGTCCAAAAAGACGTTTGGTGGAGATTTTGAGCTCAATTCGAGCTCCCTTATGGATTTGGGATTAAATGGCATTTGGGTATGAGACTTAATTTTTGTAGAGATGAACTTTGTTTGAAGTTTCAACCTCTCCATTGACTCTAGATTGTTTAATTCTTGGGGGTAGCATATCTTGTTTGCTTCCAAGGTATTTCAAACGAATTCTAAGCATCCCATAAAGGGTTTTGAGACTTTTTAAAAAACCTAATGTTGCATCATATTGTTTAATACCCATTTTCACCACATGTTTGCCACCTTAAGACATATTTTCTGTGGACAGTGATTTTGGCCTCCGCATTCGTGAGCCTTATATTTCATTTGAGGAGACATCCGAGGTTGTTTATCACGTACACAAAATTCAGGGATGTTAACCTTTCACGTTCCCTATCTTTGAACCATGATCACAAAGTATTGGGAGCTTGATCTGTTGCATTTGCAGACTAGTTCTTGTGTTTAAAATGGTCACCTGGATAGTTTTTCTTTAAAAAAAACAAAAAAAACTTTAAAAAAAACTTTTTTTATATTGTTAGCTTGATTACTTCATTAGTAGAGACTATTTTGGGTGATTTAAGTGGCTAGTTGTTGGAAATTTTCTAGCTTTTGTATGAGACCATTAGAAAGGTGTGGAACGCTTATCTTAGATGTAAATTCTAGTCTAGAAGGACATTTTATGATTTTTTAATGGTGATTCTTATGTTACATTACTAGATGATCATTTACAAATGTATTTTGAGCTCAGACTATGTCAATTTTTGGGGAACAAGTTCCTTATGTTAATTAGGACTCACTGTTATAAAAAAACTCTGTTGGGACTCGATTGCTGGCCTTTCGCGAGGTGGGGCTATACAGAAATTTACCAAGAATAAGTATGAGGGTTAGTTCTATAAGACTTACGCCCTAAGCAAGCCCAACGCTCGAGACTCGCCGAAGAGATTTTTAAAAGTTATGCGTAAAAATATTTAGTTAACATCGTTGATCCTAATAATTCGTAAATAATTAACTAAGTGATACTTAATAATTTTTTAATCATTTGATATAAGAATATTGAGAGTATCTTAGTATCACATCTTTACTATTCGGTAACTCTGTGAAGGTGATTATATATTATGTAATTTTTTTTTAAAAAAAAAGATGTAGCAAAATTTTAGTTTTTAACTTATGATTGGTCTCCATGTTTTTGTAATATGTACGAAAAATTATCATATGTTATTTATATATTTGAAGTAGTTTATGGAGTGATATTTTTATTATAATACCAGTAAGTTTTATTGATTATTTATGTTACGACTAAATTTACAGTATGATAAAAAACTAATTTTAGAAATAATTATTATTTTATTATTAGAAAATTAAATATTAAATTAATTTTACTTGTATAATCATATTAGAAATTTTATTTTATATGATTTTATTTAATCCTATTTGTAATTATGTCAAACTTGTAACATCTCGTAAACCGAAATATCTACGATAAAAATAACTAAAAATAATAATTTTTTGAAAGAATAAGAGAAATCTGCAAAAAATTCTAAATATAAAAAGTAAGTTTTTGGTCAGTTTCAAACGGTCTAGTTCTTTATATTGTTTGAAATCCCTTGAAGAGATCTTTCCAGTGCTGCTGAGTTTGGGCATTTTTGATATCATATGATGGAGATATGCCTTACAGAAGTTGGGTTGTTGAACTGAAGAAAGTCAACCTGGATTTTAGTAAGGCTAAAGTAGTCTTTTCACCCTGATATTTCCTCATTCAATGGTTTATTAGGGGTAATCCTAAGCCTTACTTTATTTTTAGAATAGTTGCATACACTTATGATTTGGTAGAAAAGAGAAGAGAAAAGAAGAGGAAGATAAAGAAATCCTTCAAGAACGCTAAGGTTTTGCGAGTGGAATTCGTCGGGGGTGATCTCTATCGAGGTATGTCAGATCTTTCTTTGATGGGTTCTTCCACCCACATAATAATATATTAAATTCATCGCAATTAAAGTAGATTGAATAGTGGACATTGAAGTTCTTGATGAAAAACTGTAGAATTCTTGTTGGTTGAGTTGTAGTATACCTTGGGTTGCTTGATTCATGTTTTCGGGCTGTTTTACGAGCCTAACTATTGGGTATTGAATATTTTAGTGATTCGAAGTGTTTGAGCGAGTTCGATGGAAGTTTAGAAGGTGGAGAATTGAAAATCTGAGAAAAAAAGTCGGAAATCCCGTCTGATAGGACCTGGGGAGCCGCACCTGCTAGAGCCCCTCAAGGCAGCCTCTGTCTGACAAGTCTTGGCGTGCTGCACCATCTAGAGCTCCTCAGGATACTCTCTCACGCCACGTTCCTCTTACAGCGTCAGGGTAACCTGGAGACCCCATTTCCATCATCTTTTCGTTCGAGTTCGTAAATAATGTACCTACAATCCCTAGTTGATTTGAATACTCTAAAGTACATCTAAACATCATGAAATCATCCATAAACATGATCATGATCCTTGAATCCATAATCCGTTTCAAGGAAATTTAAGATCAAAGTCAAAGAAGTTAAGAGTCAAGTCTAAACCTTAAGAAGAAAGTCAAAGTGAATTCGAAGAGTTTCCAAGTGTCTTTAAAAAAAATTTTAAACTTTGTTTTAAGGCTCAAGTTACAAGTTAAGCAAGAGTAAAGAGTTGAGTTCATTCTAAAAAGTAATAAGGGGACTAAGTAATCCTTAAGAGTTACAAATGTTTTCACATTAAACAAATAAAAAGCCTTCGTGCTAGTTTCAGACAGAAGTGATATCTTTATGAAATGAAGTATGAAGGGAAACTATGATTTTCAAGAGAGCTATTGAAGCTATGTTTTGAGCATATATTTTAAAAACATAACAGTCATTATATTTTTGGAAGTAGTATTGTGCATCAATGTGGGTATGGGTGTTCATATTAACTCAAGTCTCCATGAAAACAATGTAGCCTTCATGGGTAGAAGAGGGTCATACCTTTTTAGATGAACCCTTTTCACAATATACTAGTGGATCTATTAGGCAGTTCAGTTCATATACCCTGGCAAGGTTAGGATGGTTGGGCAGCGGGTAACGTTGTATTATCATTATAGCTCTTTGGTGATGGTTGTCGGTTAGAGAAGCTCCCACAGAAGATATAGTATTTTTTTATATACATCAATTAATTGTATTTTCATATACATTTCAGAGTTATAATGTATCCCTGTGATAGACACATAGTTGATATCATGTTTTCAAACAACTTTTCTAAATATTGCACATTGCCTTTACATTGCTTTCTATTGAAATGAGTATTTATTCATGAGTTTAACAGAGTCAGGTATGTGTCTCTCCTTACTTTATTCCATCTTCATTTAATTTTAGGTTTCAAACTCACATACTCGTACATTCAAAGTACTGATGTTCGTTGGGCTGCATCGTATTATGATAGATGCAAGTAACTAGGATCAATAATTGGCATATTGTTGATCAAATGAGTAGCTTAAAGTCAGTGGTGAGCCTCCTTGCATCCGGATTACTTATTTTTATTGTTTTTCATACATTTTTCAGTTATCAAATGTTGTGGGTTTTCCCCCAACATTCATCTTTGTATTTTAGAGGCTTCATAGACAAATTATATTGTTTTAGTTTTGGTTTTCTTGTCATTTATTTGTAAAGACTTGAAGTTTCCACGTTGGTTGAGTACTACATTAAAAGTTACTCTTAAGTTATATCTTATGTTTGAGTGTTCCACTATGTTAAGTAAGCCAGACCAAGGGTTTACTCAAGACCAACAATGGTCATTGGGTGCCGGCCACGCCTAGGGTGGAAGATCGAGGTTTGACAAACTTGGTATCAGATAATAAGGTTCAAGAATTCCTAGGGAGTCTATCAAGTAGAGTCTTATTCATAGGTGTGAAGCGTGCCACATCTATGATTAGGAGGCTGCAAAATTTAGGGATTTCTTCACTTCTTTCATATCTTTTTTTGTGCGTTAGAGTTAATGTCTTAAATTTTTCCCTCCAATTCGTTCTTGCGCGTGTTGCAGATCAACATGCCTCCATGAAAATCAGTCAGAGGTCGACCAGCCAGAAGGAATGTTGAGGAACCAGAGGTATTTAATGCACAGAGCATGCAACCTCAAGGGGAAGTCACTAATGCTGAATTTCGTGAGGCTATTCGAATGCTAAGCAAAGCGGTGACTATACAAGTCAGGAAACAACGGGGAGATGGACAAGATATGGCTCACACTTTGAGAATTTGGGATTTCTTGAGGATGAAGACCACAAGTTTCACTAGTTTGACTACTACTGAGGATCCGGAGAACTTTGTGGAAGAGTTGAAGAAGGTATTCGATGTTATGCATGTGATTGATGCTGAGATAGTTGAACTACTCGCCTATAAACTCAAGAATATGTCTAGGACTTGGTTAGATTACTTGAAGGAGGGCAGACATGAGAATGCACCACATCTGAGTTAGGCTTTTTTTAAGAAGCTTTCTTGGGGCGGTTCTTTCCCCAGGAACTGAAGGAAGCAAAGGTACAGGAGTTCCTTACTCTGACACAAGACTCATTGTCAGTTTATGAATATGCTTTAAAGTTCACCCAACTGTCTCACTATGCTCCTGAGATTGTTAAGAATATGAGAAACAAAATGAGCTTGTTTGTTGGTGTCTTAGGCCGTGCATCAAGCAAAGAAGGTAAGGTTGCAATGTTGATTAAGGACATGGACAATTCAAGGTTAATGGTCTATGTGTAGCAGGTAGCGGAAGAAAAGATTAGGGATAGAGAGTAGTTCAAGAGAAAGAGAGATAAGACAGGGAATGAGTACGGGCAGCAGAAACATGATGCCAACCGGTTGTCCTTCCAACAAATAGAAGGGTCCTTCTCCATCCTCTGCTAGTGCACTTACACCTAAGAATAAAATGGAGCACTATTGGAAAAATTCCAAAGTTAAACCGGCCTACTCTAAGGGTAGCGTGAAATAGGGAGGTAATAAGCCTCCTGCCTGCGCCAAGTGTGGTAGAAATCACTTTGGAGTTTGTTGTGAAGGCTCCGCAGTTTGTTACAAGTGCGGTCTGACCGGGAATTTAATGAGAGAGTGGCCAAAAAGCAATCAAGCTGGTGGTAATGGGTGCAATAGAGATCAGTCTTCATCAGCTGCTCCATCAAACATGGTCGCACCTAAGGGAGTTAATTTTGGTGATGACGGAGGAACAAAGCATTTGTATGCTCTCAATAATTTCAAAGAATAAGATAATTCGTCAAAGGTTGTCACTGGTATGATTCGAGTCATTGACTTTATTTTTATTCATTGTTTAATCCAAGAGGGAGTTTATATTTTGTATTCCCTATTTGCTATGAACTTTTAAATTATTCCTGAGAAACTTAGTGAACCAGTAAGTGTTTCCACACCTTTTGGTGAATCCATTCTAGCAGAAAGAATCTATCGTGATTGTCCTGTTTCCGTCAGCCACACGAGTATTATGCTTCATTTAATAGAGTTAGACATAGTAGATTTTGATGTTATTATAGGTATGTACTAGCTCCATACCTGTTATGCATCAATAGATTGCAGAATTCGAGTTGTCAAGTTTCAGATTCAAAATGAGCCAGTTATAGAGTGGAGTAGTAGTTTAGAAGTGCATAAGGGTCGTTTCATTTCGTACCTTAAGGTGTGGAAGTTAGCTTCAAAGGGTTATATTTATCACTTAGTATGATTCAATGACTCAAGTGCTGATGTACTTTCCCTTCAGTCAGTTTCTATAGTGAAAGAGTTCCCAGAAGTTTTTCCTGATGATCTACCCAGAGTTCTCCTGAAAGAGAGATAGACTTCGTTATAGACATTATTCTAGATACTCGTCCTATCTCTATTCCACCATACGGAATGACACCAGCAGAATTTAAAGAACTGAAAGATTATTTGAAATATTTTTTAGATAAAGGCTTCATTCGATCAAGTGTCTCACCTTGGTGCGCTTCGGTCTTATTTGTGAGAAAAAAGGATGACTCCCTTAGAATGTGTATAGGCTACCACCAATTAAATAAGGTGACAATCAAGAATAAGTATCCTCTTCCAAGGATAGATGATATTTCAACAATTCTCAAGGTGCTTCTTGCTTTTGGAAAATTGATCTCAAATCAAGCTACCATCAGTTGAAAGTTAGGGAATCCGACATCCTAAAGAAAAATTTTGGAACCAATTATGGGCATTATGAGTTTTTAGCTATGTCATTTGGTTTGAAAAATTAACAATCAACATTCATGGATCTTCTTAACTAAATCTTCAAAAATTAGTTAGATCTATTTGTCATTAACTTCATTAATGACATACTGTTTATACAAGGAATGAAAAATGCTAAATACCTCAGGATGTTCTTCAGACTCTAAAAGATAAAGGAGCTATATGCCAAGTTATCTAGGTGTGAGTTTTGTGTTAAGTGTGTGGCATTTTGAGCCACATTGTTTCTAGTGATGAAATTAGAGTTGATACCCAAAGATAGAGGCAATTCAGAGTCGGCCTAGACCCACATCTCGAATAGACATAAGGAGTTTCCTGGGTTTGGCTAGTTATTATTGGAGATTTCTTGAGGGTTCTCATCTATTTCGTCTCTCTTGACTAAGCTAACTCAAATGACAATCAAGTTTTGATGGTCTGAAGCTTGTGAGAAAAACTTTCAGGATTTGGAAAAAAGATTGACTATACTGCTCTATTTTTGACCTTACCGGAGGGTAATCAAGGTTTTGTGGTGTACTAAGATGCATCGAGAGTTGGCTTTGGTTGTTTGCTAATGAAAAATCCAAGTTTATACGTTATGTCTCCAAATAGTTGAAGGTTCATGAGAAGAATTATCCGACTTATGACTTAGAATTGGCAGTAGTAGTTTTTGCTTTGAAGATATGGCGTCACTACTTGTATGGTTTTCATGTTTACATATTCACTGATCAAAAAAGCCTATAATATGTGTTCACCCAGAAGGAACTCAATATCAAACAAAATAGGTGGTTAGAACTACTCGAGGATTACAACATGAGTATTTTTTACCACCCAAGTAAGGCTAATGTGGTTGCTGATGCCATAAAATGGTTATCCATGGGGGAGTACCGCCCATGTTGAGGAAGAAAAGAGGAAGTTAGGTAAACATATGCAAAGACTTGCACACGTGGGAGTCACACTTATGGATTCTACAAAAAGGAGGGATTTTAGTGACCAATGTGGCTAATTCATCATTAGTGTTAGAGGTGGAACAGAAGCAAGACCAAGACCCCGTTTTGCTTGATTTGAAGGGGAATGTTCATAAGCAAAGAGTATTGGATTTTGAACAAGCAGGAGATGGTGTTCTAAAATACCAAGGTAGATTGTTGTAGCTAGGGTGGATGGACTCCAAGAGAGGATCCCGGAGGAGGCTCATAGCTCCAGATATTCCATTCATCCGGGTTTTACCAAAATGTACTGCAATTTGATAAATTTATATTGGTTGGAAGACATAAAGAAAGATATAGTTGAGTTTGTTGCTAAGTTCAAGAATTGCCAACGAGTGAAAGCAAAGCACCGAAGTCCTGGAGGTTTGGCTCAGCTAAATTACTTTAAGAGTAAATGTGGGAAATTATTAATATGGACTTTGTCACAGGGTTGCCAAAATCTCGCAGGTAGCATGATCTATTTGTGTTATTTGTGATAGAATGATAAAGTCAACCCCCTTTTGCCGATAAATACTACCTATACAGACGAGGATTATGCTAGTTTTACCTCCAACAGGTGGTGAGACTTCATGGAGGTTTGGTCTCTATTAATTCAGATAGAGGTGCACAATTTACTGCACAATTCTGGAAATCTTTCCAGAAGGTTTGGGTTAAAAGGTTAACCTAAGCACTTCTTTCCATCTGGACAAGCAGAGCGTACTATCTATATCCTAGAATATATGTTGATATATTGTGTGATAAACTTCAAAGGGAATTGGGATGATCACATACCTCTGATTGAGTTCGATTACAACAACAGTTACCATTCGAGCATCCAAATGGCCTTATATGAGGATCTTTAAGGGAGTAGATAAAGATCTCCTATTGGGTAGTTTGAAGTTGGTAAAGCAGGGTTAATAGGACCATATCTAGTTCAACGATCTATGGAGAAGGTGAATGTGATTCAAGAAATGTTGAAAACGGCACAGAGTCGCCCCAAGTCCTACACAAATGTTAAGAGAAGGTCGTTAGAGTTTGAAGTGGATAATTGGGTGGACCTGAACGTCTCACCGATGAAATGTGTTATGAGTTTTGGTAAGAAGGGAAATCTTAGTTCCTGATATATTGGTCCTTACAGAATCTCCAACAGAGTTGAAAATGTAGCATATGAGTTGGAGTTACCCCAAAAGTTAGCAACGGTTCATCCGATTTTCCATGTGTCTATGTTGAAGAAATGCTTAGGTGATCCTTCATTAATTGTACCAACTGATAATTTTGGGATTACCTATGAGGGTATTCCGGTTCAAATTTTGGATCGTGAAGTTCGCAAGTTGATAACAACAGAAGTTGAATCAGTCAAAGTCCTTTCGAGAAATAAATTTGTTGAAGATGAAACTTGGGAAGCTGAGGAGGATATGAAGAAGAGATATCTACATGTCCTTGAATACGGAGTGATTGCAGATCAAGGTACTTAATTCTCTTCTTAGAACTTTATAAGACTGTGTGTATTCTAAGCATGTTATTACTTGTTGTTGGTTGGGTGCCGAAATGATGTTACTACCTTAGCTTAGGGAAAGGGTTATCATTTGAGGATGAATGTTACCATGTGGGAGATATTGTAACATCTCGTAAACCGAAATAGCTATGATTAAATAAAGTAACTAAGAATAATCATTTTGGAAAGAATAAAAGAAATTTTCAAAATTTCCTAAGTGTTAAGGTAACTATTTGGTAATTATTCAAACGGCCATAACTTCTTGGTCATGATAATCTAGGGCCATATCTTTATATGGTTAGAAAATCCTTGATGATATATTTCAAAAGGCCACAGAGTTTGGGAATTTTTAATATCCTGTGAGGGAGATATGCTTTCTCAAAGTTGGGTAGTTGGACTGACGAAAGTCCAGTCCAGGTTTTAGTAAGGGTAAAGTGATCTTTTCACCTCAGTATTTACTAGTTTGTTTTAAGGATTTATTAGAAGTACAACTAAGCCTAAATCAGTTTTAGAAAAGTGGAATATTCTTAGGTCTTGGGATAAAAGAGAAGATAAGAGGAACATCAAGAATCATTAAAGAACACCAAGGTTTTGCGAGTGGAATTCATCGCGGATGATCCCTATCAAGGTATGTGAGATTTTTTTGTGATGGTTCTTCCACCCACATGAGTGGATTCAATGATGAACATTGAAGTTCTTGATGAAAAATAGTTTAATTCTTGTAGGTTATGTAATCTC